TACACTCCCTGGGGTTTTGTAATACTTGGGTTTCGCCCTCTTCTTCTGAAACTTTCTGGGTTTGGAGGCCTTTCGAGGTTTACACGGGTTTCAAGAGGGGTTGGAGAATGTTGTTGGGCGGCATCGGAGGCATTTCGGCTTCAACTTTGGGGCGAAACTTTCCGCGTACTGATGTGCGCCCGCCCCCCCCCCACCTCACTTGTGTGCATTTCCTAAGTAACTCATAGAAACGAAATACAACTTCGAGGCTTCCGGTGGATGCTATGTATTGAACCCACTTTGCATCCTGATCGCAGCTGGATTGTATGAACTGAAGTACTTGTACCTGGAGTGATGAAGATTTCAGAGGTCGTATTTGCAGATTCTGCTCGCAAGCGAGACCCATTTACTGTGTGCCTTCATACGCTGACGCGATCACTTATGGCATACCGAGAGCAACTCCGCAAAGCCAGACTGTTGAGCCCTGTGCTGGGGGCCCCCAGCACCTGTGTTGCTGCGTCGGTGGCCGGAAGGATCAGGATCCGCTGGCGTTTTCGATGTTTGTGCAGGATGAACTGTCCTACAGTATCATTCTAAACAGATCAAACCCTCCGTGCTCTTTCCCTAAATAACGAGCCTTTCTTCCATGCCGGAGCTCTTATCCAATGTTTGTCACCGAAATCTTTCGATACCCATTTCAAGAAAGCAAACGGCAGTCCGTGTTCATTCATGCCTTCACTCGCTCATTCGTTCTCTTCTTTCACTCAATCACTCATTCATTCACTCATTCAAGCATTGGTTCAATCATTCATTCATTCCTTCGTTCATTGAACCAATCATTCATGCAATCACTCACTGACTCATCCATCCATGCATGCATGCGTTCATGCATGTGCATGTATTTGTGTATGTGTGTATATGTATAAATAAATAAATATATACATATATATATATATATATATATACATACATACACGTATACATGCATAGATTTGCTCAAACGGGTCAACATCAGGAAAGGTAAATCGGCCTTGGCATGTTCGAGACGTTTCATCACCGTTGGCCGAATCGCTTCTAGCTCTTGGTGGTGCTGCGCATCGCACAGCAGCGAGGGCTGTTGCCGTACACAGATGCAGTCCACGTAGTTCTGGATTTCAGGGCTTTCCTTGACCCACCTCGACGATGGACAGCACTTCTAGGACTCTAGGGGAATCGCAAGGCAAAATAACATAACTCCATGTACTCTACTCTGTTACACTCACTTCAAAAGTTCGCGTTAAAGACTGTCACTGCTTTGTGCCGGGAAGCTGGGCAGCTTCTGACCCCATGCTTCCCTGGCAGTACCTCCCCACTGTGAAGCCATGGACGTGCTCGTAGTACTTCAGATCCAACAGCCGGAGCCGTGCCATTGTGGGAACATGCTCAGCAGAGTCGCGGCTGGCATTGCGCAAGGAACTTTGGAAGCTTTCGACATTGTGGGTCTTCTCACTGTGCCCATGACCGTGGAGGAGGTGCACGAGCTGGTGTCCAACTCCGTTCTCCTTGTTGTGAAGGACCAAGGCGGTCTTAGCATAGTAGTCCAGCTTCCTTCCTGCTTTTTGTGCTTTCGATACCAGGGACGTGCCGATCAGCTCATTGCAGTCCGAGATGTCACCAAGCCGTGTCACGAAAAAGTCGGTGTCAATGACATTGACCTGATTGAGCAGCTTCACACAAGCAAAGCAGCCTGTCTGCTCAAAGCTGTTTCTTGTTGCAGGGCAGCAAGTGCAGGGGCAAGCAGCAAGGTTAGCGAAATCAGGGCACCTGGCACAGCTCCTCGACATATACAGCCAACTCATGAGCCATTGTCGACTCCATGGCGGACATGTTGCCGCTTTTCATAATCTGGAGCTCGTCATGGGCCATCTGTCGGCCTTCCTCGCCTTGCCCGCACATCTCAGCCATCTCCTCCATCTTGGTTGCGAAGTCCTGACGCGCAAGTCACAGCGTGCTTTGAAAGTTATTTCTAGGCCCAAAAGATGCTTCACCCCATGTACTGCTGAGATTCAATCAGCATTTCGAATTTCAAAGCCAAAATGAGGCCACGCCGGGATTCCATAAATAACGGGCCATGAGTCCATGAGAAAACATGTAAAAAGGGGCACACTAATTATTAATCTCAACTCAAATTTCTTTGTGATTACAGTATGAGCTCCCAGCCACAGTGCGTACCACAACGTGTGGGCATGAGCCAGCTAAACTGTAACTGACTCGTGGAACTACAGTAGCGATCTTCTGTGCTTTGCGGTCCTGCGCTGCAGCCTGGGTTAATGTAGAACCCGATAGCGTCTGGTCAATGGTCTCTTCAAACTCTTTGTGTGCGATCTCCTCTGCGGCCTGTCTACCAGCCATCTTCGTCGCCTCGATGACGGCTTCATCGTCAGTCCACTGCTCCCCGAACTCTGTCAGGCTGATGTTTGCACGCACGAGCCTGATGACGATCTCTGCCCGGCGCACCTGCCAAGTGCATCGAGTACGGAGACGAGCTAGGCTACACCTCCAAGAACGAGCACAAAACCGCCAAGGCACCTTATTGAGACGTACCAGCTTCCAGTCGTCCGTTTCTGCAGCCACCATCCGCTGACTCAAGCACTCATCCTAGTTCATGGTTGGGATCGAGTTTCGGGGTTTTGGGTTCATACAAGCTAAAACAAAAGCAAAATTGTTACCCAACTCCGGCAAAGCGTCAACGGCATCGATGATGGCTACGGCCTGTATCTCGGCAGTCCCGAGTTGCAAGGCACTGAGAGGAACCGCGCCTCCTGCTTTGAAAGACTCATTGGATTTGGGAGGAACCGCGCCTCCGTATGAGGTGACCTTGTAGCCGGACACCTCATTGATTGCTTCATTGAAAAGAAATATGAACGGTAGGAATGTGGCCCAGAGAACCATGGCTAAGACGCCACGGAAGTGGCGCGGTTCAGACACCACGGAAGTTCGCCCTCTGAGCCAGCAGAGTTCTGCAATTCTCGAATTCGGGAGCCGGATCTGCACGCGAAGGACGCACGAAGCGGAGGTTCAAAAAAACAATAAGAAAGAAGCCCGACAAAAAACCGTGTGCTTGTTTTCCTAAGTGCTCACAGAATGCATGGCCCGATTGCGGACTATGCAATTCGTCTTGCTATCATGCAGTCTCATCTATCCGTCCCGCCGCACTGAGGCCCCCGTGTCTTGATCCTAACTCAGACGGCGCCAGCCACAGACAGGTATGACTGGAGCCGTTGTTCGGTTGATCCCGCCTTGAACCGGAGCTCACGGCAAAAAGACCTGGTGTGACACCTGGCACATCTTGGAAGGATAGGGGCCTTAATAGTTGGAATAGGGGCCCATCGTACTATAAGTATAATAAAAACCAGGACATAGTATTGGCTATTATTGAAACCGTTCCAGGAAGCAGGGGATGGATGACGTTTCTCTCTGGCGTGGGGCGACCTCCGGGGGCTAAAAGACGGCTGGAGAACTGTTATGCTACAGGGTTTATCATAGGGTTTGATAAGGTTTATGTTTGCATATATATATATATATATATATATGTATGTATGTATGTACATATATATATAGCTTATAGAATTTATGAAGATGTTGGTGCGACGAAGACTGGAACCCTCCAAACGAGACCTGACTGAAGGTCTTCTCCAGATCTCCACATCTCCAGCGAACGCCACTGCCTGCATGGCGGTTTTGACAGCAACGAAAGACAACAAAGGACTCTGGCAAAGTAGCCTCAGTCCGGTGGAGATCTACTCTAAGCAACAGAACAGCGGCAGGCCCACTGACCACTCTTTTTGAACCTGAAGCTATGCAACATCGTCCCGACATCGTGCCAGAAAGGGCATTGACTTTACAGGCTAAGCTCTCGCATCAAGCCACATACAGAACTCAACAGTTGAATAATTTAACCCTTTCAGGACTTCCGATAGCACCGAATAGCATCGCCGGTCTTTGCATCGAGGACTGGCCCGACGGATTGGGGGTCTGGAACCTGCTGCTCCTGGCTGCAAAGACCACGGTACCAACACGGTTCGGCAACGGGTATGTACATTCTCCGATTCTCCGACTCGCAGTGGCAGACCGTTTCTGCGGAAGGTCTAAGAGTCGCAGCCAGCCATGATCCGATTAGTTCTTTAAGATCTCAAGCTACGGCGCAAACGCTTTTGGAAACTGTGGGTGGGTTGAGGACGGGCTTGTTGTCGTGGGTTGGATATTGTCCAGTTGATGGTCCCTTCCAGGGAGTCCTTTTACTATTACGAGGAGTCTTCCTGACAAAGGGAACCTCACGTTCTGGTCCCTGCCACAACTTGCCGAACCCAACCCTGCTCGGGCCGTGTCGAAGACGCAATGCGGGCTCTAACAAGGGGGCCTTAATGAGCAAGTAGCGGTTGTTGAGTAGCTATGTATTCACACATAGACATAGAAGGGAATAATGAGCCCTGAGGAATAGTGTTACCAAGTAGTCCGGCCGCTGTATGGTATGAAAAATGGCGACTGCAGCTGGTCAGGAGGTAAGCAGCTTTTGTTCCTACACACCGACGGCAATGGCCAAAATCGGATGCAAAAGCCGTGAACCTGTCGATGGTAGCTACAAAACTACTGCGAAGTACAAGGTATCTGCTTCACATATGACATATCACATGCAATGACCGTGACACAAATGACGGTAGACATTCCTCAATGTGCTGCTCCATAACTCCCACAACAACAGAAGAGGACCAGTCATGATGCTAGTCCGGCGCAACAAACGCATGCCTCCTCCGGCCAGCTTCTAAGTAAAAACTGATCGTCCGTCCGGTTCCTCGTCACGGCTAAGATGTGCAAGCTGTGAGTCACACCTAGAGCCCCACTAGACCTCTTTCGCATGCCCCACTGCTGCGAGTACACGGAAGACGAGCCACATCGAGAGAGCGGTTTAGCTAAACTAAAGGGGCGCCAAGTGCAGCAACGGATGATGACGATTGCACCATCGTCGATGTGCAATGGCCACGTTACTGCACTATGCACTCAGTACGATGGGCTGGCCGGAAGGCCTCGCATCACAAAACCAAAGCGCCGATCAGTGCCTGGTATCCCTCATGCTTCTGTTTTAGGTGTAGGGTTTGGTGTTTTCAATGCGTTTATGGTCTTCGAGCATTTCCGAGAGGCGGTTCATTCTCTGCGCTTCTCTGTGCAGTGTCTGCATCCCTGTTGCCGCGTTGTGCGAGCTGCCACAGAAAGTCCAAAGATTTCGGGCTGTGGTGCATCACCGCCCTTTCGGAATAATGTGATTGACCACAGCTACGGACATGCCTGACTCCACATGGTTGTAGCGATCACGCAACTGAAAGAACACATCTGGCAATGAAGCAAGCTGCCCAACTCGCTTATCAGTTCTTGCAGCCTGTTATTATAATATATAACCCTTTACTATAATAGAATCGATCCACCGAAGCGATCTCAATAATAGCAATATAATATACGTAGTATAATGTAATACAATATAACTTGAAGCCTATTTTACAGGCGAGCAATCGGGCCTGCGAAGTCTCCTCGCTGCGTGCTGGTTTCGTTGCATCCTGGCCCACAAGAAAAATGGCAGATCGAACCTATCGAAGCTGTCATTCAAAGGTTCTTCCACCAATACAATATGGGAGCTTCCGAAAACAAGGGGTACCTTAATTGGGGTCCTTATAATAAGGATCCTATTATTTGGGGTACTGTATTAAGGCTCAGAGACGTGAAACCCCATGGTCCTTGGATGCTGCCTGGAACGTATCGTCCGAGGTGTCAGTTGCCGGAAACCACTGTGGGCCACCATCCCAAACTGCCTCTTGTCTTACTCGGACAAAACACTGATTTTTGCTTGCGGACTAAAAAAGGTAGGTTCGGGTAATCAAGGTTGTTTTTGAAAGACTGGGGATTTTGTTGGTCTTAGGGTCTTGGGCTTTCGAAACAAGCCTGGAGGGATCTTGCTGTTTCTGTTAGCTAGTGAGCTAAATGATGAACTTCGCTGAAGGAAGCGGTCGCACTTGATGGACAGCAGGCAATGCAAATGCAAAGTGCTGAGTTCTTTGAGGCGATTTTGTAGACACGAACTACCTATAGTCTCCATTGTAGTTCCTTTTTTTGGTTTAACGAAATATATTATTAGGATCCTATAAGGTAACCCGAAAAAGGAACTACAATGGAGACCATAGGTGCTGTCTGCGACCAAGGAACCTGGACGAACCGAAACACAATCGTCGCTATGATCTCGTCGTCGGGATTTTTATCCTTGTCACGGCTTGTCGAAGCTACTCACAGCTACCCGGCACCATGTCTAGCAGAGACTTACCTCGGTACTGGCATAAACGACAAGCATCATCGCAACCATCGTTACTGTCTCTACATCATCTGCTGTACCAACAAGCCTGCTTGCCTATCATATGAACAGCATAACTATGGTCACTATGGTCGTCTGAAACTCGGACGACAGCTTCAGGCTCCTGCACACACACACACACGCACAGACACACACGCAGACACACACACACACACACACACACACTCATGTACGCAATCTCGAAGAGGGGTGGGAGCAAGGGGATGGAAGGAATAAGAAAAAAACCAAGTTTCTGGATGCCACTTCAGTTGAGCTCGGCGCAGCAGGGCCTTTTTCGGCCGGCAAAGATGCACGATGCACAATCTTTTGTCTGGGAGACCGGGAGTAGGTACGACTCTCCAAGCACAGCCCTAAACCCTGAACCGTAAAGCCCGAAGTTGAACCTTAAACCCACAAGATGTCAATGCTGAAAGGCCCGAACATGGAACCAATACAAGCATGAATGGAGCGGTTGCACACAGTCATCATGCGTCTATGTGTATGTATACGTCTAAACACACACACACACACACACACACATATATATATATATATACATATCTATGTATATATACACATGTGCATATATCTATATGTGCGTGTAGGTGTGTGGACGTCTGCACATGCGGCACACATATGTATGTATGTATGTGTATATATACACACATATGCAGGTATCTCGGGAGAGAGAGAGAGATACATATCAATCTCAATATCAATATATGTATGTGTATGTATATATATATACACATAAGTATGTATATACATTTGCTCCGTCCTCCCCCTCCGCTCATCCATACATACATATACATATATATATATATATATGTATGTATATACATACACAGATATAACAACAAACACACACACACACATCTTGCTCTCTCTCTCTCTCTCCCTCTCTCTCTCTCTCGTATACGGACGCATGAATATCTGTTCCCCTTGCTCCTGACCAATCCAAGCCTTGCACGTGGAGCAGCTGGAACCTTTCTGCTCTCCGAAACGGCACGCGCTGCACAAAGTCTCCTGCACGCAGGAACCCTAAACCCTCTGAACTCAGTGCTTTTGACGCTCATACTCGGACAACTAAGGAACTGGAGCCGGTCTTGAAACCTAAGGTCTGCAAAGTCCTGGGTCCGAGGACAGGTCTTCGACTCGCGACTTGCACGGCACAAGCTGTGCTTACAACGACGAGGGTGATTGTCAGGTATATAATGAGCATGGGACTCTGAATGATGACGATGATGAACAACACTGTGAATAGCATGCTCAATTCGACGATTGCTAGCGACGAACTGAAAACTTCAATGGGGACTTGACGGTAAGAGGGACTGGACTGTCGGCACCTTGAACGTACCTGGGACTCGCTAATTGCAATACATGTGGTCCTGGTGATCACTGCTACTGTTAACGTTCCAACACCCTCGTCTGAAATCAGTGGAAAAACCAACATAGTATGATTCTCCATTGTCCTTCAGCTGCAAGATATGCCGGCGGACCTTGTCGCACACAGCATAGCAAAGCGACCGATCCAAAGCAAGGCAATACTGTAACATGCAATAACCGTTTGATGCCGCTTCCGCAAAAATCAGACCTAAAAGAGTGAGCCTGCCGTGCCTTGAAGCCCACGAAGAAACTTTGAAGTTCGCAATCGGCCAACTTTACTATTCGCCCACACGCTGAGCATGAGCTGGACGGGGATAGATAGCACAAGAACGAAAGGAGGGGGTTGAATACGAAAACGCCCCGTACAATAAAGAGATCCCCTTTAAGCTCGAATCCACATGTTATCGAGATCCACGGAATGCTGGCCTCCTCATCTCGCATCTTCTCCTGGGCATGACTCAGAGTACACAAATGCTGACATGGCTGAACCGCTTTCGCACCCCACTGTGCCAAATTGGCAGATGGTTGAAACTAGGAGACGACTACAACCACCTCGACACCCCGGCCATGACTATTTCAAGCAAAGGTGCTGCGTAGAGGTCGCAGCTCTGCTGATGAAGCTCGGCTGCAGGGATGTCAGTGAAGATCATGCCGCAGCCGCGGCATGATCTTGCTCTGCAGGCTTTCGCCGAGATGTGCTTCGCGAGTTCTGCCTCTGTGTGGAAGGCCGCATGGCAGCCGGGGCATCTTTTCACGAAGGGACACCGCGCTTCGTGCTCCTGGCAGCTGGCCTTGTCCGCATAGTATGCTCCGCATTCCCCGGCACAGCTGCAAGCAGTGCAAGCACGCTGACGAACGTGCTTGAGAAGACACTTCTCGTCTGGAAAGTCCTCCCCACAGCCCGGGCAAGCGAATCTGTAAGTGTCAAGGCCTCCCAACACTGGCACGCTGAACCTGTTCTGCAGCCGCCGTAGAAACTCCTTTACATCATCCTTAGGACCACTGATGATCCAGGGGTTGTTCTGTGTGTCTTCGCGAATCTGGAGGCCGCACTTGAAGGCCTTGATATGGGAGTTTCCGAAAATCAGGGGACCCCATATAGTACCCTAAATAGTAGGATCCTTACTAATAAGGTACCTCGAATTTTCGGAACGGCCTTGATATTGGCGCCACCCTTGCCGATGACCAGGCCAGCCAGGCTGGAGCTGATTTGCCTGAGCTTATATTGTAGGGACCTTAATAATTTCAATCGGGTTCTGGGGTAAATTATGATAATGTAGCTATGATAAAGAACCCCCAAAGTAGCATATGCAATTGTTCAGATATCTTCAGATGGCTTTCCGGCTGCAGTTTGAGCTTTTGGAGTGTTGGGGGTATGCCTCTGACACCTCTCCTGCAAGCACAGAACCCTTTTACCTTTTGCATCCAGGACTCTTGCAATCAGCCGGGAAAACGCACAAGACAGCGCTTAAACCCTCCAGCAGCACTCGTGGCAAACCCTTAAACCCTAAACCGTAAATGGGTGGTTGTCTAAATTATGGTCCCTTTCTGGGTCCTTAATATAGTACGGCACTTAATATTTAGGGTACCCAAACAGGGACCCTAATTTTGACAACCACCCAAATGGGAGTTTCCGCAAATAGGGGACCCTGATATGATACCCTAAATAGTAGGATCCCTATTATAAGGACCTCCAAAAAGGTACCCCCAATTTTCGGAAACTCCCAAATGCGATCCAGATTCAGGGAGACCAGCTCGTAGCCCCGAAGGCGCTGAATAACTTCAGCACAGGCGGCAGTGCAGTCCTCGAATGCTCTTTTTGGCTTCCATGTTTCTAGGGTTTATACGGGGATTTAGGGTTTTTTTTTTAGACGGCCCTTTTCTCCCATTGGATTTAGGGGTTTATGGCTTCGAGGTTTAGGGTTTAAGGGAGTGGAGTTTATGTGGGTTAAGGCTTTACTTAAGCAATCATTAGCTGACCATCTGACTCGGGACTGTCAGTCCCGGCTGTGCGGCAATGGTCTTATGAAGTTTACGGTTCGGATGACATTGAAGACTTTGCGGGCGCATTTCGTGTTGTCCTGTCAAGGAATGCCAGCTACAGAAATCTTGCGCAAGCAGGTCTCCTCTTTCTTGCCCGAAATCTGGCTCGTTACCCAGCCGCCCTTCGCCGGCTCGCTGAACTGGATGTCCACCTGCGAAGGATACGGGTTGAGGTCGCTTGCAGGGTTGCCTGCATCATTTCCTGTGGTGTAAGGGGCTGCAACTACAAGATATTCCAGCAATGCTAGCTTTACTAGCATGCCTCTGCTTCTTAGCATCATGGATAGCAGTCATGTGCAGCAGTGCACACAGGAACTCGGAATCTCAGACGAGTTGAGCTCAATAAATGAAGGAAAGTGCCAGTCTGCAACCCTCTCTGCTTTGATAAACCCCCGGCTATGATGGGAAGGGGGGGGGGTGCATCTGAGAGAGAGAGAGAGAGAGAGAGAGAGAGAGAGAGAGAGAGAGAGAGAGAGAGAGCGCGAGCGCGAGCGAGAGCGAGAGCGAGAGAGAGCGAGAGCATGTTATGGTTTTGTTACGGGGATGTTCAGGGCACAATCTTGCTACGTATTTGGACTTCCATAATACAAACCTGCACCAACATCGTGCGGATGCTTTCAAGCCGTGGGTTCTAATGAGTGCTCCGAAACTAATATAGAGAAAACTCCCTCGTGCTTAGTAGGGAATGGGGGAATGGAGAAGGGAGGGGGCTATTATAGGGGATTATAGGGACTACTATAGGGATCCATTCCGCCATTCCCTATGACAGAAAAGGCTCATAACTTGGCAAGCTGGCCTCTCGAGCTGATTTGATGGACTGAATGACCACTCCGTTCTTACCCACGATCTCCCCCACCAGTTTGCTGGAGATTTTCAAGATGATGCTGCCGTACCTTGGAGGCTGCGAGAATATCTGTGCAGTTTTTTCATGGGCAGATAAAGGGTTGCAGTACTACGGAAAGGGCTTCTGTAAGCTGTGCTGACAACGGCTGTGAGCGATTGGCTGTCGTGGCTTCACCCTTCCTATCCTACCACACCACAGATGCGGAAGGGATGATGCGCCCCTTTATTGGGAACCTCCGCTCCAGTTAAGGTTGCAGCCGATCATACCTACCATGCCCCAAAAGAGCCCCAAGCCTTAATTGAGCCTTATAACCTTCCCCCCAGCTACGTAGAATGCCAAGCAGAAGCCCGGCCACTCCAGGAAGAGAACCTGTTGGAGGAGCTCTTCAGCGAAGTCCACCTGTCCGCTCTCGGCTGCGATGCTCCGATCGGGGTCCTAAGCCTCAGAGTTCCTTCAGCACACACCCCCGTGCAGCACTCGCCTCCGTCTTGGTGGCAGAAACTTCCATGGCTATGACGCTAGTAGTAAAGTACTTCTTGAAACTTGGATTCTTTGTAGGGATAATGCTACAGCATGATACAGCTACAGCATCTGAAAGAAACGATGCTCTCAATGTTTCCCAGAAAATCCAGGCTTCTCAGCATGTCAGGCGACCCTGGCCATTCACCTTTGCCTGGTCGCTGAATTCCCTGGCCAAGAATTGGCCGACAGGGGGCTTTAAGCTGTGGTATATGGCGTTGAGCCACCTCCAAGAAGTCATCAAAGACTGCTGCCCATCTAGTTCTGCTTACCCTGAACTGGCCCTAAACGCCTCTGGCCTGCCGCTGGTTCCCCTGGATGCAGACGTGGTCTGCATCATTCGAATGCAGCTTTGCCTGCCGCATCGGTCGGAAGCTTTCGAGCTGAGGGTCCAGGGTTTACGACATGAGTAACAGGCACATTCTATCGTAGTCTATAAATATAAACTGTTCACTTCTTGGCGCCTAAGACTTCAGATCAAAATCTCTATGACTCGCGAGTTGTATTATTGCTGATCCCTTACAGGATCCTCGGAGTTAGCAGGGAGGGCCATGGCTTGGTAACGACGTCGCCTAAGTAGTGAAATCTTTTCAACAAATCAACAGAACTCGTAGTTACAAGTAAAGATCACTCAAACAAGCACGAAGAAACGCAAAGTCAAGCTCCAAAGCCCCTGAACGAAAGGGAAGGGGAGAGGAGCAAGTAGCAGGGGTCAAAGAAGGGGATCCGCCAGGCCTGAGCCTAGAAACCCAACCCTCCTCAAGAAAGCCCCAAAGAGAAGCCCCGCCTAAGAACGGCCGCAACGGCCTCGCCTCGGCACCGGGCCCTGTTTTCATCTTGAGCCATTCGAGAGTCGCCGTTGGCTTCTGTGCACACAACAAGCGAAGCAATGCCATTACGGAACATCCTTCTCTCTCGTAGGATCGACGCCCGATTCACGTCACTAAATGGACTGGGCATCACAGGTGATCTTTCAATCACCAGCACTCCTCCTCCCCTTAGGAATCCGACAGGGGCACTATGCCCTGACCATTTCCATAGGATTTGGAATTAATTACGGCACCGAATCCGCAGCTCATTCTGAAAGCAAAGCATCCATCCAGCTCCAAGCTGAGTGGTTCCGCTTTCTCATTTCAGTAGCCTGCCATTTCAGAAAAGCCCCACATGCGCATCTTCATAGTAACCAGATTTGGTCAGGCTCCAGAAGGGCCTGCTCGTGCCCACTCAACCTCGATTGCAGAGTTGACACAAATGCTTCTCATCTACTCGCCCGCCAACTACCAGAGAGGAACATGTGCTCCTCGAATGAACGCACTTCCCCCCTTTTGTAGTGTACAGCGTCTGTCCATAGTTCAGGGTGACCTCTCCTTGGATACGCCTGGGCTCGGTCTGCACAGCCTGGTCCACCGTCATAAGCATGCCACGACGGCGCGCTCGTCCAGCTGTAGATCGAAGCTCCTGTAGAGGTGGTAGATCATCCTCTCCTGTAGGATAGGGAGGCGGTGGAGGCGGGACATCCCGCGAAGACGACGCCGCTTCGTAGGTGTAGCTCGTTGTAGATCTCGCGGGCGTAGAGCTCGCCAAACCAATGCCATGCAGTTCCTCGCGAACTGCTGCTTGCAGCTTCCGGAGGCGCCTTGCCTCCTTCGACTCCTGCTCCTCTTGCGTCCATCTCTGCAGCCACCGCTTTAACAATTCCCAAATACCAATCCCCGCAACCACGAAGATCAGCAACATCGAGTAGAACTCCCATGGAAATGAAACCTCGATGTCCTGCTTGGTTGTACGTCCTTCCACAGGGCAAGCCAGAAAGGTCAACACCGTGGCCAATCTTGTAAGTGTGTTCCACCAGCACTTTCTCAAGCCAGCCAAGACCGCCGCCGCAAGAGTCGTTGTGGAAGTGCTTGTAGTCGCCCTTTTGTAAGTATCCTTAGAGGACTCGTCAAAGTGAACCAACCCCCACAGCTGCATAAGCTCATATAACCGTGCCGGTTCGAAGCATTTCGTGCCCATGTCCGCCTTCTGGAGGAGGCCAGCAATATGACGAACTTCTAGTAAACCTTGGCGTGATGCCTCGCGTAGACTCGCCGCCCTGACACGCAGATGGCGAGTTCGCCACGTTCCCGGGGCGTCATTGCATAGGCTTACTGTAGCTGAGTTATCTACCAGAAGTAGTAGACGTGAGGCCTGAGGGTTCAACTCATCGACTAGCATGCTGATTCCAAGCTGTAGTTGAGAGGCTGCCACGGCTTCTATCAACTCGCATTCTGCTGTACTAAGTGATATCAGCGCCTGCTTGCCAGCTTTCCATGCTACAGGATTCCCTCGATACGTAACCAGGGAACATCCCACTGACCGCCCTCCCGCTGGGGAAAACGAAGCATCGGAGTAGGCTGTAACATACAGTTCAGCACCTTCTTCATCTGTGAACAGCAGCCCGATGTGAGCTGTGGAGTACAAGTAGGAGAGCACACGTAGCCCTATCCTCTCAACCAAAATCGGGTCCCGCAAGCACAAGGAGCTCATCGAAGCAACTGCGTGCATTATATCCGGTCTTGACTTGGTAGACAGCCAAAGTAGTTCTCCCGTCAGGCGCTGAGCGCGCCTAAGAGAGCTTTCGTCGTAGGCGATCTGCTCCGGTTCCACTTCTCCTAGAAGCCACTCTCGAGGGCATGGCGTCCTCGCACCCGGACCATTGCTGAGGTTGTGATGTCTCAGCAATTCTGACAAGTAACCGAATTGGCTCATGAAGTAGCCGGCCTTGCGCTTATAGATCTCCAAACCCAGAAAGCGCACACCTTCTACGGAAGAGGCCCAGGTGAGATCACTTGACTTCCATGCTGAACTCAGCCACTTGTGGATCTCGTAGATATCCGGTGGGGCCCCTAAGTACATGATGTCGTCGACGTAGACAATGATGTAGGCGATCACGACGTCCTCACCGTTTGAGCCCTCAGACTTCATCACAACCTTCCAAATGTTCTCATCGGCGGTAAGCTTCTTGAGGGTGACTGACCGGCCCCTTACATCGAAGGCTGCGTCCCTTAGGCGAGCATCTCGAAAGAGCCCCCATAGCCTTGGCGACCGACGAAATCCGTACAAGGCTCTATCCACTCGGTAGAGCCAGTCCCACTCCGGGCCCAACGCCAGCAAGAACACCTTTGGAAACCTCAGCCCATAAACAGCATCTGTAGCCATAGGAGCCAGAAGGAAAGCATTTCTGATATCCGTCACGGCTGCATCCCAGTCTGGAATCCCTGAGGCATGTGCGACCATCACTCGTAGCGACTCGGTCTGACAGCCACCGGCATAGAGATCCTCCGCCACGTGCTTCTCGTAGTTTCCGCATATAACCAGTCTCGCTTTTCTCTTGAACCACTTGGCTGAGGGGTTTAGCTTTGCATCCAACGATCGATCCCCTCCTTGGCTAACCTTCCCAGTCGGTCTCGTCTCGGTAGACGCTATAGGGACTCCCTCAGTGGACACAATCTGGTCTGCGGACTTTGCGGGGACTCCCTCGGTGGACACAATCTGGTCTGTGGACTTTGCGGCGTCTACTCCCTTGGTGGATGTTGCCAAATCCTCGGGCACCAGCGCGTGGCCACTGGGATTCTCTACAGAGTCCGGAGGCTTAACTGTAAAAACTCCCTTTGCTGGGAGAACCACCAGGCGACTCTCTCGCCTGAGCTTGTCCTCCTCAGTAGGTTCCATACGCACCAAGGCACCGCAGGAAACTAGGGCATCGACTTCTTTTCTGATCGCTGCAGTCCATGCTGCAACGTTCTCCTTGACCTCCGCCAGCGACATTGTATACACCACTTGTAGAGGTCCTTGCAGATTCCGCAAAACTTCCTCCACACCATATTGTTCGTCACCTTCTACCATCCGACAAAGACGAAACCATTCCATGGTGTCTGCAACCTCATTATTCTGAAACTCACTCGATGCAACAGCTTCAAGACGAGCACACCGCAACGTAGCACCCACATTGGCAAGGGTCACCGGGTTATCCTCCTCCTCATCTCCTTGCGCATCGCAATGTTTCTGCAACTGCTCCTCCTCGTCCAAGACACTGCGTAGCAACATAAGGTTACCTTCCTCCGTCGCCTTTCCCATAAGCACGAGCTCCTCCTCATCCGAGGTGTCATAGTAGTCGAACTCGTCGTGCTCAGATTGATGTCTCATCTGCTGCAGAGAAATAGCTTCACGACCAGGAAGATTGAAACCCAGCTCACGCAACTCCTGGACCCCATCCTCAGATAGGCGGTTGAAGCCTCTGTTGCAGTAGCCGATAATGGACCACTTGGTTCCCTGCCACGGCATAGATCTGTGCCACCTTCGCGGATCAAACTTGACAACGCCATTGTGGGCCGGGATGATAGAACCCAAAACTTCACTTCCATCTCGGAGGGTCTGCGTCATCTGAGGAAAACCTTCATGAACTCCTTCTACCCACAACCCTCCATCATCGAACGCACCACAGGACACGACCACATTCTTCTTTCCCTCTATGTTATAGCGGTCTTTATGGAGGCCGGTCTCTAGATTGCGGGCCACAACGATGCTGGTAATGGGATCGGAGTTCCCTGCGTGTTTCTTCAAGAACTTCACTAGGTACCTCACAAGGTGCTCATACTCACGAGTGGCATTGGTGACGCCCACGAAACTTCCATGTTGGTAGACTCCGAACGCCGTGTAGACATCCGGCCCCGGATCTCCCCATGCTTCCACGTAGCGTGACTTATTCGGCTTCTTGAAGGGAACGTCCTCTAGGATCGCAAAGCAGTCTTCCAAGGAGAACCATTCCTTCTCGTAGGAGATCTGGGCCAGCGTTTTCATCTTATCCTTATCAAGCAAATACTCCAACTTCGCCGACGACTTAACATCTTCTATTCTGTAGAACTCGGCCTGATAGGAGTCATCGCTGGTCTTGGCCACATCTGTTGAGGAAGTTGCTCTCATAGCCTTCAAAGGGATAGGAGCTGACGG